TATATATATATATATATATATATATATATATATATATATATATATAAGAGAAAAGATATATTTATATATAAGGGACGTCAAGAGAAAAGTAAAAAAGATTCATAGAGCAGGAATACTTAAGTGGAACTTAACTAATTAGGTTGCAGTGATTTATTTCCTTACTCGCAATTTCCTATTTTGTCGGTTTATGTTTCATCATTTTAATTATTCCACTCGGACTTCATTTTAGTTGTATTTTATTTCATTATTTGCATTTATCATTGTTTCCTCTTTTGTTACAAAAGGTGGCAATATTGTATCTGCAGCTTATTTACCGGCTTTATTATATGTTGAAAAAAACAAGTTTCCATGCTGTATTATTCCCATTTATCTTTCATAAATGGATATGTGTATGTGTGTATTTATATATGGATGTTTGAATATAGGTGTTACACCTTCATTTGAATTTGCTAGTATCGAAGACGGGTGTTTTGTAAAGGAATTTATATGGTGCGTTAATTATAGTTTCTAAATATAAATATTTGGCTCCAGATAGTAGTTATTCTCTTTGGACAGCAAAGAAATGAGGGTGTTAAGCTGATCTTGGAGAATATCGGTGAGTTATTGCTTTTTTAATTTCTATATGTTATTCGATGTTTCGTATTCTAACTACCAACAAATTAATCAGCGTACAGAAGATCAGCACAGTGGACGTTGGAATCACTGGTGATGTCTGATTTGCTCTCTTATTGATGATGTAGTATACCGAATGTCCGGACATAGCTTTGGTATTCCGGTATTAAAACGATACCATCTTCAGCATCTTTGAATATACCAGCCGCAATGCAAGCAGAATAACTGTTGCGTTTATGCATCATAGAGGAGGAATGGTGCTTACAAGTATTGGCCTCAGATATGGAATTGTTGCTTCAGTAATTTCCACACATACTGAAAATGATTACTGACAGGGAATTGCGGAGATGCTCTTACATGGGGCTGAGTGGTCTAGTGGTATGATTCTCGCTTCGGGTGCGAGAGGTCCCGGTTTCGATCACCGGCTCAGCCCACTCCGTTTGGTGACTTTTGAGATGCAAGTTTTACTTGGGTAGCTGTCAGTTTCGAGAATTTTCACAAGTTATGGGTCAAGAAAGTGCATGAACATGGGCATTTTGTGTTCCTTGTCGAAGTTCAGCCTTCTGCTCACTTCACAGTTTGTATTGTCAGGAGTTTACTGATGATGGAACGCTGCAATTGTTAGTTTGCGTTCTTGCCCTTACTTGATTACACCATCGGGCTGTGTTTAGATTTCATCGATTAACCTGTCTCATCAAATGAATACCTTACTTTTATGTCAGCAGCTTTCCTGCTTTGCTGTTCTGCCAGGCGTCTCAAGTATTGGTGCAGCTTGTGGAAGTATTTCATCAGTATTAATGCCTGCTCGTTAACATTGTTATTAATGCTTGTTCATTAGAATAATCACTAATCATATTTTTGAGTCCATTAGCTTCTTTCTTCTTTCGAAGTGTCACCGAGGAGTTGTCCCCAGCGTGTCTTTTCCTTTACAAACGATTCTTGTTATTTTGAAACTTTTCCACGCTTTACTCAAATTTCAATTGGTGATACATTGAGACAGCGTGAGTCTTAAGAGCACAGATATTAAGTTTATTCGTATGATACGATACACTCATAGGATCAGAACTAGATCATATCAATAACAGGGACTAAGATAAATGTTTTGTGCAGGGGAAGAATGATTATTGATTACTAACCCTTCTCTGAAAAACCATTTGCAGTGACTATTTCATTTGACATTTTGAAAATGTTCCAGTCAAACTTCGGATTCAGTTAGTCTTGAAACAATTAGAGATATACATTCTGTGAGAAAAAAATGACATTGCGGTAATAAAGTAAGAAACGACGATAGACAGAGATTACCGTGCTAAAATGAGACGTGATTTGGAATGGGATGAAATTGTTTATTTACCTGGAAAGGTCAGCTGGACATAAAGGAATAAATGGTATTTTGAGTAAACGAAGTGAATAATTTCACTCTGTAGCAAAAGATGGTACTCATTCACTTGATTCACTTGTTTAGTTTCTTATTCACTTGTTTAGATTCCTACTTATTAGAAAAGAGAACTTCACTGAACTGAAATGAAATGTTCCGGAATTACCGAGGGTATTCATTGTAAAATCATCCAATGGATGTTTAAAATATTTCGCAATGATTAGATACAAAGCAAAGTTCCTTTGATTGCTAATGAATCATACATATGACAATTTTGCTCTCACGAAAGATGCTAATGAACTGGTTACAAGGACTGAGTTCAAAGGCATCTGCGGATTTCGGTCAAAAAGCGATTTCACTGCATTCATTGGAAAGCACCACCGTAGTAATCCTTGGCTGGATAAAAAGTGATGGCTGCTGTATCCACCTGTGTTGGATATGATGCCAACCGATCCTACAACGCTAGCATTGTCCATATGTTCTGTCAACTTTTAATTTGCTTGAAACTTTAAAATGAAAGGTTAATTTCGACGGGATGGGAAAGTGATTACACCGAGATTTCCCATAGCCCTTTAAGAATAGGGATGAAGCAGCGGAAAAGATAAATGATAGAGAGGAAATGCGACAACTGGTCCTTTCCGTTACCTTTCCCAAATGTAGTTGTAAAGTATTTAATGTATGAGTCATGCCATGTCGCATCGTAATGCATCATTCAGCTGTATGATGTTTCCATTGTTATTGATCGCTGTGGCTAGCAGCTGGTCTCCTTCCGTTGCTTCGTTCTCGTATTCAGAGAGAGAGACTGTTGCGCGATAATCAACAACGGTCTGGAACGATGACTCATCTTTCGTCCATACTCTCTTCTCTTAAATATTTCCAAAAGATTGTTTCTTACAGTCTCCATTCGTTATATTTCCACCAGTCACTGTGGGTGTTGTGGGATTCGAGTTGCTATGTGTTTATTGTTATGGATGACCTTGCAAAGATCAAAGATTAAAGTTTTGGTACAAAAATTCCGAAGATTATATTCGGTGTTATTTAGTTTGCAATTTATTTACAAAGTGCAGTCGTTTTGAATTCAATTCATAGTTTTCACTAGAAATGCTTAATTCATTTGTTATTTAATTCATAAATTTTCTCGCTTGCTTAATTTGTTTACTCTTTTCTAAAAGTATTCGTTTTTTTAAACATTTACACTTGATTACATCGAATTCCCATCGCTGTTTTATACAACTGCATTACGGGGGCATTATTCCTTTATAGCAAGTATCAGTCTTTCTTTTGTTGCAGAATAAATTAATGGCACAACATTATGGATATGCTGGGCAACCGCCCTATCCGCAGCCAGGTTATCAAAACGGAGGAAATCCATATCAGCAAGGTCCTCCATATCAACATCCTCCTGCTCCTGGTTTCAATCCTCAAGGTTTGGCGTTTCTTTGCTTGCACCATTTAAACTTAGAATATTTGGCCAAAGTGTTAATGTTGTTAGATGAAATCTAGATTGTTTCTTGTTCTAAAATTTAAAAAACTGTAATGCAAGGAAATGTTTGTTGTAATTGTTGTATTTCAGTATTCATGCCACCTCCTCCGATGCACCCCGGCGTTGATGCATACGTCGAAAGCGGAGGTGTTAAATCGGATTTTGGCTTTAATTCGGCATCCATTCGAGCAGCTTTTGTCCGAAAGGTTTTCATACTTGTTAGCATTATGGTATGTTTTTAATTTGTGTAAGTTATTGACAATTTATTTTTGTTTACTACTCAAAAACGCTTTTAGCGATGGAATACAGTGATCATTTTAGGAGAATAGTCGTTTGAAGAAAGTAGACAGACATTCAGGGATTCTAACTTAGAGACTTGGACGTTTAGGCTACTTTTGTTTGCTATTTATTAGAATTTAACGTAAAGCTGATTTTTTTTTGGTTTGTTTTAGTTAGCAGTAGTAACACTGATGACTGCTATTCCATTTCTTCATCGAGGAACTATGACGTTTGTGCGAAGTACACCAGCACTGTATTTTGGAAGTTACTTTGCTTTTTTGGTGGTCTATATGACGTTAATATGCTGTGAAAGTGTACGAAGGTTCAATTTTTGACACTTTCTTAAAAATATCGAAACCAAAATATTATGAATATTAGTGGAAGTAAGTAGGTTTCGAGTTGATAAAAAAGGTTGTTTGTGTTTTTTTTGATAACACGCTGTTTCTGGAGCAAATGTTTAACTCCTAATTTATTATGCGTTTTTTCTGTTGAGTAGTCAAATATTAAAAAGAGTTGAGGCAAAACATTACAGGTTAATTCTGAGACAATGATTTGTTTAGAAATGAAAGAAAAGCAAAGTTGTTTTAAATGCAAAATATTTTGTTAAATACTCCACAACTCTGTGAAATTTAATCGATTTGGACATGAATTCCAGATCATTTCCGGGTAATTTGATTGCATTAAGTATCTTAACGCTATCGATTGGTTACATGACCATGATGATTTGTTCTTTCCACGGACTGACCCCAGTATTACTTTGCCTGATAATAACAGTTGTTTGTTGCGCTGGGATCATCATTTTTTCGTCGCAGACGAAATATGATCTTACAAGGTTCGAAGTTTTTTAAATTTGAATTCAGATTATTAACTTGGAAAAATCTTTAAGTCTCACATAGCGAAATCGAGTGAGAGTCCCAATATTGGAAATGCTGAAGAACTGATTAGTCATCAGCGGGGATTTTATTTTAGTAGCTGGTAAAAGATGTCAAATAACATTTGGGAGTTATTTTTTAAATATTTTGGCAATCGTTATTTTTTTTCAGTATTTTGGCAAATGTAGTAATTGATTAGATAGTACCTATTCCGAACAGATACAGATAGTACTGAACAGATGATCCAAACAGATAGTACCTGTTCGGATTATTAGAGATTTTACTTTATCATTATCTGAAATATTAAGATTGTCAATGTTAGGTTATTGTATTTTATCCTACGTGTTTGTGCAAACTGTACGGCGAGAACCTAATATGTATGGATTCGTAAAGGTTTCTGGTTGGTATACTCAGAAGAATCCCGATTTTTGTTCATGATGGATCCTGTAATGTTCAATTTGAATTAGACTTTGATTGTGGTTCCAGTTCAACTAATATTCTGAGAATAAAATGTATTTTCAGCATGTATGGCATGATGTTCATCGTTTCATTGGTACTTCTGGTTTTTGGTATTGTTGCAATCATTGCCGCCACCGCATTTCAGGTGACATGGTTGTACACCGTTTATGCCGGACTCGCTGCATTGCTTTTCATGGTTTATTTGGCTATTGACGTTCAGGTGATTTTTGGAAAAGTTGACGAAAATACGAATTGACTTAAAGAATCTCAGTGAATTTTAGAACTACGAGCAAAGTCTTTTTGTTCGAAAATTCTTTTATGTCATTTGCAGTAGCACCTGTTTCTCACGGAAGGAGTTGAGAAGCGATATGTAATTTTATGAATTTGTTGAGAGCACGAAAAGCACGAACATTGGAGATTTTCATTTTTTTTTCTTTTTTTAAGTACTCCATTTGGTTTAGTTCGTACTATGGAAAGCATCTAAATATTTGTCTGATATTGCAGACAATAATGGGAGGACGAAGGCACGAAATTTCTCCTGAGGATTACATATTAGCAGCAATTCAAGTTTTCCTGGATATTGTCTACATCTTTTGGATGTTGCTTACTCTTTTCGGTTCAGACAAGTAAATTTTTGCAGATTATACGTATGCATGTTGTTGTACGCATACTCACTGCTCTGTAAGTTATGGTTAGATTTGATTGCTCTTTTCATTTTTGATTTTTCAAGACTTCACCTACATCATAATAAATGACAAGGTATCTCGTAATCACGTTGCCCCGTAAAGGTGGAGTTGAATTCAAGTATACTGAAGTATTAACTATTGATTCAAAAATGTTTCATCTTGAAGATTTGTCAGTTAGTTAGCTCGATTCTGCGCAAATGAGTCAGAATGTATTTGACATAGAATAAGTACTTTGAAGTTACTTCTCCTCCAAAAATGCTAATAATAGGGGGAAAATGAAAATGGATTTGTTTTCAATAACTGTTCATGTGGATGTGATTCAAAAAAGTTGTTTCCAGGGCTATTAAAGGTTTTTGATATACAGTTTTCACCTTTCTAGTTGAGTTTAAAAAGAGTGACATATGTGCAGGCATATAAATGTAAATCATGATTTATGCTGCACTTGACGTGTAATGATATACTAGTAATATCATGATCATTGTACACTTACGTATGATAGGATAGTTGATAAGAATGTTAGGAACTGTATGGGAAGATGTGATTACCTGAAATTTGGAGTAATTTGTTCCTTGAGAGTTCGAACAAATAGGCTGAATGGACCCTACGTATTGTCGACTTAGTTATGACTCTCTGTTCTTTTTACTTAAAATCACTTAACATTACATGTAGTTGTGATTTATATTATATTTATTCACTGAGAAAATTAAGGTACTCATTATGTGTTCTATTATGTTTCTTGCGTTGCTTGACGCGTTCTTATTGTCAGTGCGTTGTCATATCGTATGCTTCTTATACTGCTTTCGCTCAGCTCAACTTTTCCACTATATTTTTCCTTAGGATTTTGCAAAATTTGTACCTTTCCACACTAAAATTTAAGTTGGAGTGTTATTTCAGGGAATGAGAATGAACAGAGTGAGCTATTATAAGGATCATACAGATATCGACTCGATCGTGTTTCCTACTAATCTTTTTTCAAAGCCATTTCAGTGTTGTATTATCTGTTAATTGATATTCTTACTAATAAGAAACTACCAAGTCTATGTAATCTGGTGAACATTCACACCCAAAAAGTTTAAACTTTCCTAGTGGGATCATGAAGTTAAAGAAAAGTGATCATATCTGTGAGTGACTTGCTTTCGGAAAAATAATGAGGGTGTCTTAGGAGGGTTGAACTGGATTCAAACTGGATCTTAATGATATCTTAATTATAATATCGATGACATCGTCCGAAATCGCAGTTAATGCAGTTTTCAGGAACATTTCCTCGGTTGCTTATTTTGTGAGAACTACAGATTTATTCTTTTTTGAAATTGCTTATTTCAGTAACTGACAATATGTGGAGCTAATGGTTATTCTTCGAGTGTTTAAGGTTGCTGTCTTTGTATCCACAAACAAGTTATATATTTTATCAGGGACGATCGATGGACTTTTTTTTTTCGCTTTTCCTCATATTTTTAATCTTAGATATTTTACCAGGTTAAGGACTTGTTGGTTATATTTTTTGATTTGTAATTCAATTTTGAATAGCTTGGAGAAGTGATGTACTTTTAATCAATGGTTTTGAAATGACACTCGAAAATTTAGGAAAACGTGATGTGTTCAGTATCTGCATTGCTATGTTGTGTTTTGTTCTGTCATTTCTATTTCCAAAATTTTCTATTTTTTAAATTTTCGTTCTTTGTAAAAGTTACTTTTTAAATCATTGAGCTTGTGAAGTAAAAAAAAGCAGTTGTCTCATCTTTAGTTTGTGGGCTCATTTTTCATTGTAATGATTTTTAATTTTCATTCCTCATAGCTGTGTAAAGAGTATACTTTTGATAATTTTACTGACTGGTGTTGTGTTGAGGTACGCCGAAAATTAACAGCTTTGAAAATAAAGTTCCTTATTCTGAAATTAGGTGATTGTCCTCACAGTGATGCATCAGGAAAGTATTCATGGTACTGGATTGAAAATATATACACATTTCTTTTGTTAAAAATTATAGAGATAAATAATACAAATGGATGTGCACTGGTAGGTCAATCTAAGTAGAAAGAGGCCTGTTGTATTGCTTACGAAATGATGCTGTAGGGCTTACATATAGTTTGATGTACCATTTGGTGTTTATTTTCTTGCAGTAGACTTACGACAGCTCGTGATCTGTTCTACTTTAATTTCTGTTATGTTTATTGGGATGACTTCTGCTAAGATTGACTGGTTAGAGAGGTTGTGATCTCTTGATGTGGATTTTATTTTTCAAGTCATAAAAGATTCAACATACTGCCCAAATGATTCCAACGGTCAGATGGAATTTTGGTCAGAGCTGGGGCCAATGAAAATCAATATTCTTCGCAATAAATCAAATCAAAAGACGTTTGACGATTCCTTTTACCGCTTTTTTTTTCGTTTTTACTGAATTTCCATCGAGTCTTCATAAAGTTCGACATCTCCAATTAATCATGGACAAAGTTGTTTTAAAAAAAAAGTAAACATGAGCATCTCTATCATTGGTCGTCCCTTCATCGGATTTTGAGTGACATGTCCAATCGTCCAAGAAACATCGTACTACAGTGTAATAATTAGTGGTATAGTATAATACGCCGTTGTGATGATGTAATGTCAAGTTATATTGGTGTAGTGATTGATAATGCACTGAAGTATGGATGGTCAGTTTTAAAGCGATAAAATTGTCGTTTGAACTAAATGAGTTGACACGGATACTTTTGTTCATTTTGTTGCTTTCTGAACCTGTCGTCTGTTTTGAACATGAGACTAAGTTTAGTGATAGTTTCAACATCAAAAAGAACTGAGAATGTGAAAAAAAAGCCCAACAAAAATGGAAAGAATGCAAAGAACTTCTATATACCAAATTTTTCCTTGCCTTCATTAAAATTTTCCTCGTCATCTTCGAATGTTTCCAAGCTGAAAAGATATAGGATAAGCCAAATCTTTGGCCTCACAAAGGCTTCATCGTTGCTGCCTGTTAAACGAACCGCTCCAACAAGAAGTGTTGAGAGAACCTTATATTATCCTGTCATGGTATGCATGTATCCAGAAATAACTGAGTTTGACCGCTGTACAAGACAACTTGCCAAATGAAGAAAAGCATCAATATTAAATGGAGGAATGTCGGATGGATATTCATCTAATCTTGCTAACAATCCCAAAGAATTGTTTCAGTCCCAAAGTTTTTTTACATCTTCTCAGAAATGGACTAATTGCGATTGGTGACCCATGACAAACATATGAATCCGCATTATTTTTGCGGTTAATTTTCTACTGTTCTTCGCTTCTCTTATCTTAAGTGCTTTTCCTCATGTGTTTATGTTTCAATCTTATCTAATATGTTTAATTAGCTAGCCGATATCGCCACCCATACCTGAGAGTGATCTTCATCATCGATACCATACAGATACAAAACTGTCTTTTTATATAGCGCCGTTCTTTCCCTTTTGCGCTTTATGAACTTGGCGCTGTTTTCCATTGTTTATATGTTTCAAATCAGTATCGCGTATTTGTTACAGTATTCACCTGATATATCTTTTTGCCTACTATTACTGTACAGCAGCTGCTGTGTCAGTTCACTCGCGAACTCGCCTCTTGATCTGAGATTACTGAAACTGTCTACACATCAAATTTTCTGAACTGTCCTTATATCTTTTAGAGTTGCTACTGCTTCCATCCCCCTAACTTATCAGCTTTAACATTCCTTGGTCATTTTCTATCATTTCCGCATTCCTGTCATCTGTCATGGTCCCTTTTTGTCCTTCATAGTATTCGCATAACTTTTCGTAAGGTTATTCCTTTCACCTCGTTGAGAACTTTGACTAGCTTCCCTTCTTCGAGTTTGCGCTCTATATTATCGCAGATAGCATTTCTTCCCTACCGATGCATCAAAAAATTCTGTGGAAAGCTAATTTGTCGAGTTCGCTTTTCAGCAATATAGGTTTATTCGGCATGTGATACTATTCTTGTACAATATTATTAGTTAACAACAAAAAATATATAAAATGTATAGCACAACGATAAATTGGTAATACAGTAAGTAAGCAATATGATCAATTAACAAATTCCTTGTTGTTTACCTTTAATAATAGTTGACTGTCGTTTTGTTGATAGGTTGCGTAATGGTTGAGATATAAGAATTCGTCCTTCGTTGAATTGGAGATATGTTGCAGAAAATATTTTTAGCGAAAAGAAGGAATACTGTTGTCTGTTGTTCAATGATAGCAGATATGTGAAGAGGATACTGTACATAGTCTGCTTGACTGTAAAAACTAACTGTGTACGATTTTTCCGTATATATACATATATATATATACCTAGGATAGGGGAACAACTTTTGTATAATTAAGCAGGATTATCCTAGAGGTATAACTGCCCATAATATGGTCCATTATGCAGCCACGAATATGTACTGAAATGTCTTTGTGATATTCCCACTACTTTTAGCTTATATCCTCCTCGCTGTCTTAATTTTACTTATAGGATTTTATCATCCTGTCTGATAGATATAGTAGGAATTTTGTTTGAACGTGTCGTAGAGATTTTATTTGAACATAACTTTAATTTTGGTAATCCGGCAACAATCTTTGTGATATCAAGATTGTGGTAATGCACACAACTATTAGTTCTGCATGCGGCTATAATGATGGACATAATGTCAGCACTGCTACAACATATGGAACATTTGTTCGATGTGGCCAAGAATAGTCTTCGAGTGAACGTGGTCGGGATAAAGTTCCAGTGCTTTAAGTACCATTGTTCGACTTTCATCAAATTGCCCGATCTGAAACAAATGCTGCAAGAATAAATCGATGAGATCGTTGACTGCATGTAATGGTCTTGGGAATGAAATAATTGATATTCACTTGATGAGGAAAATCGAAATTGAAGATAAATAGTAATATTTACTTGATAGGTAAGCAGAGCAAGATTATAGCATGGCTCAAACAAGTGTGGTCCCTTCTCGATTGCGGAACGGAACATCGATCGACTCTGGTCTATTTTGCCGTCCCGCATTTGTAGTATAGCAAAATTACACACGCTTTCTGCATGATTCGGATCTGCTGCTATCGCCAACCGGAAACAACGTGATGCCATTTTGACATCGCCAGATGACTGGAATGTTGATTTTGTAGAAGGCTTAAATTTTTAAGGGACACTTGAGGTTTTTTGACTTCTAATTGTCAAGACTTGTATATTTATTTATTGTTTAAATATGATTTATAACACGATACTTACTAGGAAAACGTTTCCGGTATTATACCAAACATCAGCAATAACCTCATCGCTAGCCGATGCCAGTGCTCGTTCAATACACGATAATGCAAGGTCGAACTGTTGGCAGAAGAAGCAACACAGGCCAAGATTCATAAATAGTTCCGCACTGTTGACACCCATTTGCAAGATACGCCTTAATTCAAAACTATTTGCGATTCCCCTCCTGTATCGCTTCAAAACCATGAAAAACACATTAATTAATTAGTATTATAGAAAACTAAAGCCATCCGACCATTTTGCCGATCTGTCGATCTGAGAATTTCAAATTGATTTATAAACTTTTCTGCACAATTATTTTATCCTCTTATTAAAAAAAAACTGAAGCCATATAAATCGTTTTTCTGCATATTTTTCCCACAAGACAACTAATGATCATTCTCACATCCATTACTAAGCTAGGATCATGATGACCTGATAAAGGTAACAAAATATTGGCCGTTATCTCGGAATTGAAAGTCAGTTTAAGTGCTCGAAAATACGACAAGAAGAGATGAATAATAAACAATCAA